TATATATATATATATATATATATATATATATCGAAAAAAGAAGCGATCGTAAAATATTTTTCCCTTTGAACAACAATGCCCATCCACATACTACCTAAAGTTATCACAAACCGTTATCGTCTGGCGTCCTGAATGGAAAACTTTGTGTCGATCGCCCCCATTCATTTATTTCTCAGGTTCTTGACAATAATCTGCGTGGACAAGAGTTTAAGAACGATAAGGGGTACAGGTTATTATAGAAACTTTCTTTTGTTTCGAAGGAGAAACTTCTATAGAAGAGATATATTTATAAGGTTCAAGACGGGAAGAGGTAATTGAATCAGATGGAAATTACCTCGGTGAATACAATTAGTTTTATAATATAAATTTTGTGCTCTCCTCTCCACGTGTATTAGAAACGACTAAAAAACTTTGGCGATTACCCGATACATTCGTGCTCGTGTTGTGGATAATAACATTGTGTAATAACCGCTGATAAAAAGAGAGATGGGGATCGATAAATATTATACACAACGTAATACTGCATTGAAATAGTCGCATCGCTACGCACTAGTCAATCATCACTACGATAATACACTGGATAATAGTGGCAAATAATCGGAGAATTAAAAGACTTTCAAATTAAAAAATGCGGAACATCTCGTGCAACGGAAATTTATCGTGCCGAAAATGCCTCATCACCTCTCCCCTCTCCCCTGTTTTAGATTCGCGTGCCACGCATAAAATCCTGAAAAAAAAAAAAAACGAATTTCAGTATCAGCCGTCGTGGGAAGTATCTGGGTGATCTAAACGCGAGAAAAATTTTAAATCTGCGATGACAATTCGTGACAATTCGCATTTCCAGAATAACTCTTCATTTGCATATTTTGCATTTTTTTGCGAAGATGGATTTTCATACGTTAGCATACTTTCCTGATTCCAAGAACTTGCCTATTCAGATTTCGAGGGTGAAATATTCTGAAAAAAATTATATTTTCCGATTTCGGCATATATCCCTGATCGACGCATATCTCCCATTTCTAATTTCGGATTCCATATGTACAGAATCTGAGTGATGATTTATTAAAATCGCGCATTTTCCAAATTAGACCAACCAAGAATGCCGCTTCGAATCTTATCAAAATTTAAATGTCTCTACATTACACACATACATTACACACTCTCTCGCGTATTGTTCAATCATTAATGCGTTCCGAAATACTGTCTTTTCAACTCTGTGACGAGTTATTACTGGTACCAATGAAAAAAATTATTATTCCGTTGTTTAAATTGCGTGAGGTTTTTTTCTCGCATTTTTTTCTCACATTCACAACACCACATGCTATTCCACAGCATCGAATCCCTTGCATCGATCGGCATACACGGCGCGATGCCAACCGCTTGTAATTTTCATTAGAGACGCGCGTATTTGTCGCGTCCGCTCGCGACCCCATAAGGCAGCTTATAAGCGACCGCCTCGCTTGATATTACAACGTGCAGAGACACGGAATCCCGAGTAGTAGCCATATACGTTGATATTAATTAGCAAGGAGGACAGCATGATAGTCTCGGCTTTTCTAACTTGCTTTGTTGATACAAGCGACGGTGACCGGCCACATCTAACTATGCAAATTATCTGACAATTACATTCTCTCCTTTCAAGTATTATATTTAATATTCATAACTGTAAATAGACTCACTATGAACATGTAACGTATGTACGTTATGAATAGCGAATATTCTAAAAATTTACATGAATTTCGATAATCGTCATTGTAAAAGTTATTTCTTGATTTAGTGCAATATGAAAATTTTATTGAAATAATTATTATTATCAACGTTAAATTATAATAGAAAAATTGTAATTATAATTGAAGAGTCTGTGAAGCGAAAATCAATTAAATACAAAATTATAAATTTCTCAGGAAAAAAATAAGCAAGCTATATGTTTTCTTAAATAGATATATATTAAATTAGTTTTATATAAAATGTGAATATTATTTTACACATTATATATATCTAACATTATATAAGAACCAATCAATTGGTATATAGAAAATATTAATCTTTTTGTTCCCTTTTTGTACTGATAATTATATCATACAATTTTAAAATAAAATATTGCCGTCTATATTTTTCTATCTGAAAATATATTAATTTCTTTAATTTTATATAGATGACTTTAATATGTTTGAATATGAATTTTTTGTTGCATAAATGAGATATTATCAAAAACAT